GGGGTGGGTCCACTGTACATAATAAAAAGAAATAACACAGAAAATATGGGATCATCTTAAAGTGATTATTATACAAGTGTGAATCCCATTCATGTGTATCTTACTGTAATAGTGCTGCATCTCTCAGTATAGTTTGTGTGTCCATGAAATTAGTGTGCACTGTGCAGGTTTAACATGAGCCCAACAATAAGAACAAAATCATTAATGCTTTTCAGAGATAGAAGGACAAGCAAGTTTGTGATTCATTGGACCCTAATGTATGGACACATTGGACTCTAATGTATGGACATCAGGGCCAGATTAAAGGAACACACAAAGTTTCATAACCACTACATCCTGTTGTGGCAGTTATGGAATGGTTTGACAGCTTATGTGGGGCCCACCAGGTGCTGGTCAACTCCTCCTATGAAGCTGGAAACTGCTAAAATAAGCGTTGCTTAGCTCCACTGAGCTAATCCCTGCCACACAGGGCATGCTCATTGGTTTAGAGTATCAGCTGAGCTTTCTGAGCCAATGAACTAAGCCCTGCACTGCTGGGATCTTTTGTGGTCACAGAAGGAGAAAAAGGATCTTTAAAGTCAGCAGGACAGAAGCACTCATATAAGGAAATCATGTAAATGGATTGCTCCTCACTTACACCAATGCCACCTCTAGAGATCCAGCAAACTATAACTTAATTTTAAAATAAAGTGCACTCCAAATCAAAATAAAAAATTATTTAGTTCTATGATTAATTTTTGTTCTTGTATCCTTTATTTCAAATACCACATTGTACAAGGTGCAACTTTACACATTTAATGCATTGTGTGCCTTTTGGTATGATGTGTGATGTGTCAACTGTGATTAAGTGTGAAAACACACAAATGTGTTAATTGTATAATGCTGCACCCTGTACATTGTAGTATTTGAAATACACATGGATACACACAAATTGTCAGGACTTCAAACAAAATTCAAAGTGAATTTTAATTTTAAGGTCAAATTACCCAAACTGGAACCATATATGAGACATTTTGAAATTTGTCTATTTTGGCAAATTTGTGGTTCTCAGTTTAGTGCATAACTCTGAAAATGTGCCAAGCAAGTGAAATTACAGAGTCCTTTTCTTATTTTGCATTAAAGAGTCCATAATTTTCACATTAAACACCATTTAGTCACATTCTATGTTTGTTGTCACATTCTATGTTTCTATGTTCTATGTTTAGACAGCTGTGGGCTATAGTCCTTTATCTACCACCCAAAGAAAAGAAGCAGATGCTCTTGGAGGCAGTTTTAACCTTGATAGATTATCATGATATCAAAATATCGTTTTGTTACAGAATTCCACTAAATGTAACCACAAAGAGTAGACATATGTTTTACATGCTTAGTTTATGCTTAAATCATCATGATTTGTATACGTCTGGTTAATCATAACGTACAACTCTGTATTTCACATCATTATGCTGTTACATGACATATCTGAGAAAATTAAACAAATATTTGTTTCAAAAAAACATAAATTTCATTATGTTTAATAGATGTGAAATATTTTATATTTTTAATACACACAAAACAACATATCTATTGCTAGGGGAAAAGCCTGAAATGTTCAATTTGAAAGATATGAAGGTAAATTTAACCTTGGGCAAAGGGCATCACGTAATCATAAACATGTCACATGTAACAAATGCATTTCAGCTAAACTTTTCACTTCCTTTCTATATTCCTGTCCTGTGGTTTTGGCCATGTATAGTGCCACTGAGTTAGGGAAATGGGTAAATGTAACTATAACAAATCGCACAACCAAAAATTGTAAAAGTGTGCGCACTAGTTAACTATCACATGGGCATGATGTACTAAATCCTGTGCACAAGATACTACAGCATGAACACGATCTAAAAAAAACAATTTTCATGCCACCTCTGGGGCTCTGTAGGATTGTAATGATGGCATTGTATGTCTTTGGTCCTGAAGGGGTTAATTAGAAGAGTTTTTGTACTGAATATTTGAATCACATTGTTTCATCTCCCATATGGTCTTACCTGTGCACTGTTTTTAATAGTAGCAACTTTACTTTCTACCGCTCTCTGTCTTTCGGAAACTGCATTACTTTGCAAGGACTTTTCAAATGGACCCTGGAAAAAGAAGAATTTTTAATAAATATCTGGTATAGTAATATGCATGGAAGTGAAAGTAATTATATGTATTCCAGATTGTAAAATCTTAGAAGAGTTACGAGTCAATAGTACTAATATGCAACGTAAAGTTTTGAGTTCAATTGCTGTCAATCAATTATATAACAAAATATTCTATGTTTACAGGCGCTTAAAACAAGTTTCAACAAGTGTTCTTTAATGCAGCGGCTCTCACACAATAATTAGGAACTCTCCAATCCTATGGTGATCAAATGTGAAAAACACACTATTTACATAACCAGTATGCAGTAGTGAGAGTGTGTAGCGCTAGATAGTATTCACTTACTCCCCAGAATTCTTTAGGGGTAAAAGAGATATTCGGGTAGCTATGGAAGAAATAGAGAAATATATAGTGTAGTCTGTATCAAAAGACGTAGTTGTACACCAAATAACAGGAAGCACTCACGAGGTTCAGAGCCTATTAAGGATTGGCTCTAATCACTCTCGCTTTGTGTCCTTAAGGTGACACTCACCTTTGGATCCAAATGGGATGTAATCCTCAAAAATCCTCAAAAATAAAAAGAGAGAAAACAGGGGAAACTCGCCCTGGTGTTGAAATCCTTATGATGACAATACATAAACATGCATGTAAAAGTGAAGATTGCTTCTCACCTGGGTAAGAGCCTGTAACCTGGCTCTAAGTGAATGAGTATATGAGTCCTTATGGGATGACTCCTTCCCTCTTTAGCAAGTTAGAAGATGCACCAAATATATGTATTCAAAAATAAAAATAATATTTATTACATACACTCTAAAAAATCAATATGAAACATACAGTATATAGGTGAGTCCAAAACGTGTTTCGCCGATTCCATTCGGCTTTCTCAACTGGTAGCTTCCATCCTGTTCTGTTCCGATTATAATCCCTGCCTTTCGTCCTGATTGGTGGCAAAAGATCGAAAACCAACCAATCACAGACGTCCCTGCGAGGGAGGGTGTGGTGTTCCAGCTGTAATGTTTTATCCCTTAATGGTGGCATCATCACGCACGTACATACGGTCGTGCGAGTGACCTCACTATGCCAGCCCCATAAGTCATTGCGCCATATATTGTCGCATGTAATATGTAAGGCTATGTCTTGCAACCCTAGATGATTGAGATATATATATATACATATATATAAAAAACCAAACGGATCTTGCACTCCACCAATTCAATATTCAATGCCCGGAGCTTGTCAGCCAAAAATGCAAAAAATATTGCCAGAGATAGCACTCCAAGGACTAATATAAAATATAACTTTTATTATCTCCACTAAAACAACACAAGGTCAACGTTTCAGCTTGATCCCCTCAAGCTTTCGTTAGGACATCTCCTGACGAAAGCTTGAGGGGATCAAGCTGAAACGTTGACCTTGTGTTGTTTTAGTGGAGGTAATAAAAGTTATATTTTATATTAGTCCTTGGAGTGCTATCTCTGGCAATATTATATATATATATATCTTTTTCCAATATAAAATATTGGTCCTTTCAGAGTAAAATTTTTAATTATACAGTAAGCATACTCACATGCATACACAGACAATCTCACTGACACAAGCTGATTGATACACAGCCTCATACATAAGGTTATTGACATAAAAACACAAGCTCACTCAGTAGCAGGCACACACACACACACACAGCAAGCGCGCGCACACACACACAGCTTAATGTAGTGGTACTGGTGTCTATAGCCTGTCCCTGCAGGCTTTTCAATGTAAACACTGACTTTTAAGAGAAAAGGCAGTGTTTACATTGCTTCCTAGTGACAGACACTCAGACGGTCACTAGAGGTGCTTCCTGTGTCTGTGCGGATTGGCTGAGATCATCAAGCTTGATGATCTCAGCCGTAGAGGCAGGGCCAGGTGAGGGGAGACCAGCATAACGTGAAGAAAAAAAAAAAAAGAGAGTAAAAACACACATACACACACACACACATACCATGACAGACACACACCATGACACAGACAGAAACACACACACACACCATGACAGACAGACACACCATGACACAGACAGACACACACACACACCATGACAGACACACACCTTGACATACACACACACACCATAACAGAGACAGACCGTGACACACAGACACACACACCACGACACAAAGAGACTGTGACACAGACACACACTCACCGTGACACAGACAGACACACATTACATGACACAGACAAACACACACACCATGACACACACAGACCGTGACACAGACAGACACACATTACATGACAGACACACACACACACCATGACACAGACCGACCGTGACACACAGACACACACACCACGACACAGAGAGACCGTGACACAGACACACACACACACACCGTGACAGACAGACACACATTACAGGACACAGACAAACACACACACACACCATGACACACACAGACCGTGACACAGACATACATTACATGACAGACACACACACACACACACCATGACAGACAGTGACACACACACCATGACACAGAGACACACACAATGACACAGACAGACACACACACACACCATGACACAGAGACACACACACACACACCATGACAGACACACATTGCTGACACAGACAGACACTCACACACCATGACACAGACAGACACACACACCATCACAGACAGACAGACACACAAATGAGACAGACACACACACACACACATACACAATTTCTACCTGTGGGGAGCTCTTCTGGCGGCCGCAGGGTTTGCTGGCTGTTTTTGTGGCCGCAGGGGGAGCTGGCTGTTGTGTCTCTGCTCCCCCTTCCCTGTGCGCCGCTTAATGAGACCGGGGCCGGAATATGACGTCATATTCCGGCCCCGGTCTCATTAAGCGGCGCGCAGGGGAGGGGGAGCAGAGACACAACAGCCAGCTCCTCAGGGTTTGCTGGCTGTTCTTGCGGCCGCAGGGGGAGCTGGCTGTTGTGTCTCTGCTCCCCCTCCCCTGTGCACTGCTTAATGAGACCGGGGCCGGAATATGACGTCATATTCCGGCCCCGGTCTCATTAAGCGGCGCGCAGGGGAGGGGGAGCAGAGACACAACAGCCAGCTCCCCCTGCGGCCGCAAGAACAGCCAGCAAACCCTGTGGCCGCCAAAGGAGCTCCCTCTGCAGCCGCAGGTGAGCTAGCTGGCTGCCCGGCCCCAGGTGCCGACGGCCCACCGGGAAATTTCCCGGTATGCCGGTGGGCCAGTCGGGCCCTGCTCACTTCCGGGAATATGAAAGGGTAGTATTCACCCCATTAGTTCTTTATATCCGGTCCCACTTCTTTCGGTTCAGCTGACATCACTTCCCATTTTCAAGGATTGTAATAGGGTCCTAGCCTCCCCTCCAGTCCGTTATTCCATAGCAGATCATTCATTCATTTTAACTGATGGCAAAAGTGCTGGCAATCAAGGGAAACGTCCATAGTATTGTAATCTTCAATCCTGAGACAGCATGCTCATATTTGAGCATTTCAAATATAAATAATAGAGTACATCAATTAATTTACATAATTTTCAAAAATGATGCATACATAAGAAGTCCATATATAACATTCCAACCAGAATTGATCTAAAAAATTGTGCAAAGAATTAATGATGTTTTGACCACTATAAGATTGATATAAATTAATACTAATAAATCATAAATATATAAAAGAAAGTAGTAAGTATTAAAAGAAACATAAAATTCTTCTTGATATATATTTATTAAAAGTAGTATCATGAAAACTATTGTTATAAAAAAACTATAAAATCTTAAAAAGTGGCATAATTCAAAATCATCATTAAGACCATAAGGTTGCATGTCTCTGTTTGTCCGATTAATTTAATAGGGTCACCACCTCTCCAATTTCCAACTATTTTCTGAATTCCCATAAATTCCATCAGTTGTGGATTACTACTATGTTGGTTCTTAAAGTGCAAGGACACACTATGTTTTAGGAACCCTTTTTTAATGTTCTTAATATGTTCTTGGATTCTAATATTTAGGGTCCTATTGGTCCTTCCTACGTATGCTAACCCACAGGGGCACGTAGTCATATAGATTACTTTAGTTGTATGGCAGGTAATTATCTGTTTAATCTTGAAACTTTTATTCTTTTCCTGTGGATGGCAAAATTCTCTTATTATCCTTTTTACCATTTTTAGAACCCTTGCATGCTCCACACATGCCACATCCATAAAAGCCAGTTTTCTCTTTAAAGAATTGATTTGTCAATTTTTTTTGAGGGTATGTGATTCTTTATTAAAGTCCTTCTGAGGTTTGGTACACCTCTGTACACTATATCGGGTATATCTGGAAGTATCGAGTTTAATATGGAGTCATTTTTTAATATTGGCCAATATTTTCGAATAATTTTCTTTAAGTGTCCACTATTATGGTTGAAATAACAAATACATTTCAAATTTTATGGTTCTGTGTTCTCTCTAGTTCCTTTATATTCTATTAATTTTGTCCTGTCCTCATTTTCTACTTCAGTAAGGGCTTCCTTGAAGAGTCCATCTTTGTACCCCTTTTCTCTGAAGTCTTTAATTATTTTCTCTGACTGTTCTTGAAATTTCCGATGATCCGTACAGTTCTTTTTTATCCTAAGTAATTGCGCCCTAGGAGCGTTTAACAGCCAAGGGGAGAAATGACAGCTGTTCTCCCCTATATAGCTGTTAACGTCTACCTTCTTAAAATGGGTACATGTTTTAAGTATATTATGTTCAACATAAATATTAAGATCTAAAAATTCTACAGAACTCTTATTAAAATTGCTTATAAGTTTAATGCCCCATTCATTATCACTAAGGTGATTTAAAAACAATATGAGTGATGACTCATCTCCATCCCAGATAAAAAAATATATCGTCAATGTAACGGCGATAGGTCACGAGGTTCGCGTCCCATCTGTGGTCCCCATGGATGAATTTCTCCTCCCAATGTGCCATAAACAGAATAGCGTAGCTGGGCGCGAACCTCGTACCCATCGCCGTACCACAGACTTGTAGAAAAAATTGCTCACCATACCAAAAATAATTGTTATTTAAAATCCAATTTATCCCTTCTATAATAAAATCTATTTGTTTTTGTGGGAATCTTTTGGAGATTTCTAGAAAGTGCTTTGTTGCTTCACAGCCTTTCGTATGGGAAATTATTGTGTATAAGGAATTAACATCTGCAGTTACAAGATAGTAATTCTCTTTCCATTCTACATCTTCGATTATTTGTAATATATCGATGGTGTCTTTAAGATAGCTGGGACATGTGCAAACAATAGGCTGTAGACACCTATCAATGTACTGAGATAATTTGCTTGAAAATGGGAAGTGATGTCAGCTGAACCGAAAGAAGTGGGACCGGATATAAAGAACTAATGGGGTGAATACTACCCTTTCATATTCCCGGAAGTGACGTCACCCGCACGACCGTATGTACGTGCGTGATGACACCACCATTAAGGGATAAAACATTACAGCTGGAACACCATAACCTCCCTCGCAGGGACGTCTGTGATTGGTTGGTTTTCGATCTTTTGCCACCAATCAGGACGAAAGGCGGGGATTATAATCGGAACAGAACAGGATGGAAGCTACCAATTGAGAAAGCCGAATGGAATCAGCGAAACGCGTTTTGGACTCACCTATATACTGTAGGTATCATATTGATTTTTAAGAGTGTATGTAATAAATATTGTTTTTATTTTTGAATACATCTATTTGGTGCATCTTCTATCCTGCTAAAGATGGAAGGAGTCATCCCATAAGGACTCATATACTCATTCACTTAGAGCCAGGTTACAGGCTCTTACCCAGGTGAGAAGCAATCTTCACTTTTACATGCATGTTTATGTATTGTCATCATAAGGATTTCAACACCAGGGCAAGTTTCCCCTGTTTTCTCTCTTTTTATTTTTGAGGATTACATCCCATTTGGATCCAAAGGTGTGTGTCACCTTAAGGACACAAAGCAAGAGTGATTAGAGCCAATCCCTAATAGGCTCTGAACCAAGTGAGTGCTGTCAATCAATTGCCCGAGGTTCGGCAGGACAGCCCAATTTCGAGCCTCCACTACAACTGTCAGAGTGCCAAAAGACAGAAGCTCTTTTTTTTTTTTTTTTTTTTACAATCTACATAGAGTAACAGAAAAAAATAAACCCATAAGCCCAGATACAATGATAATAATCATTATTATTTTTTTAAAAAGAGAAAAAATATATTTTATTTTTTTCTCTCTCCCATTAAACCATCAACCCACCATCCCAAACTTCACTCCTTCCCCACTCCAGATCTTAACCAAGAAGATTATACATTTCACTCAATATATATCAGAATATCAATTAATAAATCCAATAATTTACATTCCATCCTGCATTCCATCTATCACAAATTTGATATTCCTAATCTGTTTACTCTACTAATCCATTACTTTTTTGAGGGTCAATCTTTCTCAATCCATAAATCTTTCTTTTTCCATAACCTTGGAATGAATACTTTAGCCACGTTAATTAACCTACTAATTAAAGAGTGCTTCGTTTTTATTAAATATCAAATCAGTGCGAACAGTGAGGTTTAGTCAAGTGGAAATCAGGTAGGACATACTAAGCTCTCAATTTTTTTGCCAAAAAGGGGCAATAGTTGGGCAATTACAAAAAAAGTATGTGCAAGGTCACTCCTTTGGGATTTGCACCTCCAACATTTATCACTAATTTAAGAGGCAAATGTATTTATTCCCACTGAAGTCCTATACCATCACAAAGCATTTATTTGAATCCTGTGTATCTAAAGTTATTCCATTATCAGTAATCTACAAAAATAAGGCTATTTGAGACACTCTCATAACAGTCATTTATACATTTTTTAAAGGGGAGAAAGAGGGGATGAAAAGTTTCCCTTTCGACACACATATTTTTAAAATTGGAAAATTTCATAGTGATTATGACTTGGGTTTCAATCAATTTTAAGAAGTAGTATAGCTGTAAGTAGAAAAAGGTGCCACCTCTAAGAGCAAAGTCGCTTCTGAGAATTGTTACTTTGGGAAGTAAATCTCCTGTTGAGAAATGAATAATATTGTCCAGTCTTTCTTGGATAAACATTTAGAAAAATAATGGGCAGAATCTTTACCCGGGATAAAGTCTATGTTGGGACTACCTAGTATTAATTTTCTAATAACCCTTTTCCAGACTTTTAAAGTAGGCGTTATTGTTGGATGGTCAAACCAAGTTGGTTTTATTTTTTTCCGTTCATTACCAGGGCCGTCTTTGATATCACTAGGACCCTGGGCAAAGCATTTTCTTGGGCCCCATGGGCAATCCCCACTCTCTGGCATGCAATCGCACCTTTCACATACATACTTACACAGACAAATACACAGACAGACATACTGACATACACACACATATACTGACAGATGTGCTGACACACACAGACACAAACACACTGACAGACATACTGTCACACCACAGACACATACCCTGACAGGCATACTGACACACACACATAACCTGACAGACATACTGACACACACACAAAGACATACACTGACAGACATACTGACATACCCATTACCAGGCATACTGACACACACAGACACAAACTGACACACATATACTGACAGACATACACCCTACTGACACACACATACACTGTCAGACATACTGAGACACACAGACATACACTGACAGACACACAGACATACTGACAGACAGAAAAATAGACATACTGACACATTCACACTTTTAAATCTACTCTCCGTTTCTTACCTTGAAGGATTTCTTCCCCGGTGTCCAGAGTGGTGGCTGAGGCTGTTGGGGGTTGCCGACTGGCAATCTGGACCAGCCCTCCTCCTCTGCTTCTCTGGTGTGGTCTCTCCCACGCGACTCTCTCTGGAAGGAAGTGACTCACGGCAGTCACTTCCTCCCATGCTGCCAAAAAGCAAAGGGGCCCGGTCGTGCTGTTAAAGGGCCACAGAGTGCGACCG